CTTGAAGGTTTGTTGTAATCACATTTGGCGTCGTTTATGGGAAACTTGAACTAAAAACTTTGCTGCTACTACCTTTGCAACATGGTTGATACACATTCTGCCCAAACTGCAAGTCAGGCTCAACCTTTTGGCTGAGGTCAAGAATTTAACAATAATAACTTCTTACAATCCACACCAAACCCTAACATTCACATAGCACAACACTCTAAAGGAGGAAATTAGAACCAACCCTAAAACCCAACTCCTACTCATGGAGATGCTATAGCAGCCCAACTTGTAACCATGTAACAACATTTTGGAGTCTTTTAGCTGGTGTTAGCTCAATTCCTAGCTAGAAAAAATCCTGGCGACCCCCTCATCAATCTATCAAACCTTACTCAACAACCACTAGGTCAACAATAGGAATAGCACAACACTTAGTTTGATGATCACTGAGATGCTTCGGCCATGAGCAAGTCACGGGGTCAATCTCATGTAGCTCCACCCCTACTGACCATACCCAATGATGTTACTAAGTGTCTTGACATCTTAAAAAGATTGGTAGCCAAACAACGAGGTGTTCTACCAAGTCAAAATAATGTTACTTCAATACCACATCGCTTGAATATCAATAGCCTTATTCAGCTAGATTCAAAATGCCCCAATTTGAGACATATGATGGAACCAAAGACCCTGATGATCACTTGCATACTTTTTATTCTTGCATGCTTTTTACTCTTGCATACAGGCTTAAAATGCCTTGGATGCTTTGATGTGGAAAATATTTCCCTTAACACTTCGTGGCAATGCTCAAACATAATATTACAGCTTACCGCTAAGATCCATCAGTTCTTATGTTGAAATGACCATCACTTTTGCCACAAAATTTTCCAACAAAAGATTGATAAAGAAGACGACACCTAAGCTCATGAGAATAATACAATGCGAGGCAGAATCTTTGAAAAATTACATAAACAGGTTTAATGATGCGACTCTTGATATCAGTTCTTTTGATCATGTAGTCGGGATCGTTGCCACAATCCAAGGCGTTAATCATGAACGATTTCGAGATAACTTAATCAAACACCAACGTGCATTAAGTTTATTTTAAGAAGTAGGGTTAAATTCAAAGAAGTTAATTT